TACCCGGCGGATCAGCTCTACAGCAGATTTCCGGTAAGAACATTTGGCGCCCACCGTGGGGCCGATCAAGACCAGCTCTTATCGGCCATTCTTATGGTTTTCACTAGAAGCCATAACAGACGCGCAACAGACGACCTAGATCGCTCAACTACCATGGATAGTGATGCAGCAACATTGAGGAGGCTGATCGACCAGGTCGAACAGATGCGGAAACAACACGCCGCCGACCTACAAAGCATGCGTGCCAAGCACGAAACTGATCTAGCAGCAACGCGCACCGCTAATGAAGCCGACCTAGCGGCACTACGCGCCGAGAACGAGCGCATTCACACCCAACTCCCTCGGCGTCCCTCAGATCAACCCCCTCCGCAGAGTAACCTGAATAAGGATGAAGGGCACTCGGTTTCACAACCGCCAACACCGGCTAGGGCACCGACTCCCAAGCCTCCCACACATCGGTCTCACGCGCCGACGAACAGGTCGACGCACGACGTCAGCAACGCCCCTGCCCACGGCACGGGGAATCAGACGACCTTCCGCCGCCATCCTTTCGTGGACGGTATCATGGAGACACCTCTCCCCTTTGGGCGGAAGCCTTTCCACCTCGACCGCTACGATGGCACAACCGACTCGGACGAGCATATCAATCTATACACCACCCAGGTAAACCTCTATACAAATGAGGATGCTATACTGTGCAGGGTTTTCCCAACCTCGCTCAAGGGGGTTGCACTCAACTGGTATACCCAGCTACCCGCCGAGTCAATTGACAGCTTCGACACTCTGGTCAGACAGTTCACAGTGCAGTATGCGACAAGTCGGCCTCATCACATAACGTCAGCTGCTCTGGCCAGCCTCAGACAGAGCGATGACGAACCAGTACGGATGTTCATGCAACGCTTTGTCAGCATCTCGGTGAAAATTCAAAATTTGAATCCCGAGGTCGCCCTACACGCCATGCTCATGGCACTCAAGCCCGGACCATTGAACATATAACTAATTTTTACCGAGATGAGGGACAAAGGCAAATATATAGGACTTTCATGTCCTATATTTTTTCACTACGAATACAATATGCATTTAATAATATCGTCTCAATTTTTTTATATCAGGATCAGGCACAAACATAACAAGATCGTATACCTCTTTCAGCATTTCTCGAAAAAAATAATCATCATGTAAACACAACAAATTTTTACCGAGATGAGGGACAAAGAAAAATATATAGGACTTTCATGCGCTATATTTTAAGAAACTCAAATCTTGGTAATAATCTAGAAAGTTATTTTGAAAGCAAGAGAAATTGTGAAGATATGCTTAAGAAATTTAATATCAAGTTGCCAATTTAAAACTGTAAATAATATACGAATCGAAAAAAATAATTGAAATTATTGTTCATAAGTTTTAGCAAGTTAATAAAATTATGGAGTGATAATATTGTTGCGTCTGGTATCAAACCACACCAACGTTGGTGATAATCAAGAAAAGGATATGATAATGAATGAAAGTGGAATATATACTGCGAAGATTGGAAATGTTCAAAAATAATTGGTTGGAGAACATTGTGATCATAAAATTCTGATTTTGTTTTGGTCATAAGATTTTAGAAAATGGATTATTTTAGTGAAAGTTATTCTTGGTCCTACTAATTTCAAGATCAATGACTGCACTCTTTGAATAAAGACCCTACATTGTGTTAAAAATGGTTTTCGTTTACGCATGGATACGCTTACAATTAAGCGCATGCACGTGACGCCATTGCATAAAATGCAATTAATACTTGAAAAGTTGTCACAAATATTATCAATGACTTGTTCAGATAAAAAATAAATAAATAAAAGGACTATATACGTTCTTAGTATTTAAAGTTTTATCGATTATTATTTTTAGTTACTAAATATATCTTTTCTACTGTTTTTAGTTTTAAACTTTTGTCAATTAAATTTTACTTTTAGTTGATCTTAGACTTTTTCTTGCTTTAAAATTTTTTCCTTTGACGTTAAACTTTTTTTTATCTAAAAAAAATTCAATAGCTAAAATCAAATAAAATTTGTTTAACAACTTAAAAACAAAACCACAAAAGTTCATGAAATAAAAAATATTTAATCCAAAATAAAATAATGCATGTGATCTTAAATTAAGTTTTGAAACGATTACTTTTCAGAGGCATTCAAAAGATAATTAGATTTGTCGCATAATATAAATACTTGTATTACATTTATAATTATTAGTATAAAGGATACGTAATGTTTGCTGTTATAACAGCTATTACGTCAATTGCTTTATCTGCAACAAGTAGTGACTCATCGGTCCCGTTTTACAAACATTGCGAAGTTGAATCTTGATCTGTTTGACCCTTGCCTTTGTTTGGGAAGAAAAATACGTTTTCAGTACACTCCAAATCTGGTAGCACCAGGTGCATCCTGCTACTCGAATCTTGAATGAGGACTCCATGGATTCTAACATCCATGATTTGAGGATAGAATCTTGCTGTTCGAAGTTCTCGAAGAGAGGATTAATCCGATTTTTGGTTGCATCTTCCTTCGATAGGAATTCTTGAGGGATTGCATCTGCGCCGACGATGTGTTGCTTCAATTTGTGGCCCTTAATCGTTGATTCAGCATATCAGCTCGGCCATGAAACATGGATATCGAAATACCACATCGCCCCAAAGATGCACGTCATCAAACGAATAAAAATACAATTTTGTCACCGCACCGCAATCACAAGGTAAAACCCTAACAATTATTTCTCGAAAAAAATAATCATCATGTAAACACAACAAATTTTTACCGAGATGAGGGACAAAGAAAAATATATAGGACTTTCATGCGCTATATTTTTCACGATGAATACAACATGCATCTAATAATAACCATCTCAATTTTTTGACATCAAGATCATGCATAAGAAAATCGTATACTACTTTCATCATTTGTCGAAAAAATTTGTTGTGCATGAAAGTCCTATATCTTGCCATTGTCCCTTATCTCGGTAAAAATTGGTTGTGTTTACATGATGATTATTTTTTTCGGCAACTGATGAAAGAGGTATACGATCTTCTTATGCCTCATCCTGATGTGTAAAAATTGAGACGGTTATTATTAGATGCATGTTGTATTCATCGTGAAAAAATATAGGTCATAAAAGTCCTACATATTGCCTTTGTCCCTCATCTCGGTAAAACTTGGTTGTATTTACATGATGATTATTTTTTTGACAAATGTTGATAGAGGTATACGATCTTCTTATGTCTGGTCCTGATGTCAAAATAGTGAGACAATTTTTAGTAGATGCATGTTGTATTCATCGTGAAAAATATAGGGCATTACATGATGATTATTTTTTCGACAAATGATGAAAGTAGTATACGATTTTCTTATGCATGATCTTGATGTCAAAAAATTGAGATGGTTATTATTAGATGCATGTTGTATTCATCGTGAAAAATATAGCGCATGAAAGTCCTATATATTTTTCTTTGTCCCTCATCTCGGTAAAAATTTGTTGTGTTTACATGATGATTATTTTTTTCGAGAAATGCTGAAAGAGGTATACGATCTTGTTATGTTTGTGCCTGATCCTGATATAAAAAAATTAAGAAATTCGTATACTTCTTTCATCATTTGTCGAAAAAATAATCATCATGTAATGCCCTATATTTTTCACGATGAATACAACATGCATCTAATAATAATTGTCTCAATTTTTCGACATCAAAACCAGGCATAAGAAGACCGTATACCTCTTTTATCATTTGTCAAAAAAAATAATCATCATTTAAATACAACCAATTTGCCTTTGTCCCTCATCTCGGTAAAAATTAGTTATATTTTCAAGATGATTATTTTTTTCGACAAATGCTGAAAGAGGTATACGATCTTCTTATGCCTGATCCTGATGTCAAAAAATTGAGACGATTATTATTAAATGCATCTTGTATTCGTAGTGAAAAAATATAGGGCATGAAAGTTCTATATATTTGTCTTTGTCTCTCATCTCGTTAAAAATTTGTTATATTCTTAAGATGAATATTTTTGTCGACAAATGATAAAAGAGGTATACGATCTACTTATGCCTGATTCTAAAGTGAAAAAATTTAGAGGGTTATTATTAGATGAATGTTGTATTCATCGTGAAAAAATATAGGGCATGAAAGTTTTATATATTTGTCTTTGTCCCTCATCTCGGTAAAACTTGATTGTATTTACATGATGATTATTTTTTTGAATTTAAACAATAATGTAATAAAAGATAACACCAAATCAATTTAATTGTAATTTTTAAAGAAAAATTAAATTAAAATTTAAATAACTTATTATACTAAAAGTAATATATATAACTAGAGGGAAATGCTTCTCTATTTTTAAAAAAATAAATATTAATAAAAAGATAAATTATAGAATAAGTAGTTATTTAAAAAAAAACAAACGATTTAAGGCTAAAAAGATATTAAGAAAGAAAGAATAATTTAGACCCGGCAGATCAGCTCTACAGCAGATTTCCGGTAAGAACAGTTCCTATAATTTTAGATATATTTTTTAACCTTTATATTTATAACTTTTTAATTTTTGTATTCACTGTTGTTATTTTTTTTTACAAAGTTTTTTTTTTTATGTTGATATAATATAGATTTTAATTTAACTTTACATATTTTATCTCAAATTTATTTTATTAAAATTACTCTAAATTAGGTCTTTTAACATTGTATTTTATAAGTAGCGTTATTGTTGAAATATTTTTTACACTCTCATAAATTAAATTGAACTATGTCAACGAAAAATAAATAATAGAGGCTATAAAATTAAAAAAAATTATAAGAATAGGAATTAAAAATATTATCTTAAATTATAAAAATGAAAATAATTAAAAAAGATAAAATAAAAAAATAAAAAAATTGAGATGGTAAAATTAGAGAAAGGTAAAGGAGTGAGAAGGTTTCGTAAATAAGCACGAGGATTCTACTTTCCATTCGAGAAGAAGTAACTGTAACCGGTGGTTGGAGCTTCCCATTATACGAAGGGTAGATAGACACACCGACAGTTCAACCTGTATGAGAAATTAACTGGAGCCAGCAGGCCCATATAAGGCCCATGTAGGTGCCCAAACAAGATTGTGATTGTTATTTGACACTCTCAATTCTGAAAGCGCAGCATGGCTCCGAGGAACGATGGAGCAGGCAAGAGAGGAATGAACAGAGGAGCATGGACCTCAGAGGAAGACCGAAAGCTAGCCCAATGCATTCAAACTCATGGTGCCAAAAAGTGGAAGGCTCTTGCACTTAAATCAGGTTAATTCATATATTACGTACACACATTTATGCTATGCAATGCAACTTAGTTTCTTAACATTTTTCTTCTCTTGCAGGTTTAAATAGATGTGGCAAGAGTTGCAGGCTGAGATGGTTGAACTATCTCAGACCCAATATCAAGAGGGGAAACATTTCAGATGAAGAAGAGGATTTGATTCTCAGACTCCACAAACTTCTCGGAAACAGGTTTCTTATCATCACATTAGCTACTTCCAACTTGGAAGGATAATGCCCTTCCACTTTTTTTTTAAAAAAAAATGATTTTAAATTTGATAATTATAAAGAGAAAAGTATAAAATAAAACAAGTAGTGTAGTACAAAGAGATTAGAAACAATTTTCTAAAGAATTTTTATAAATAATATAACTCAAAATAATTAATGAGCCCAACGTAGCATGATTAATTAACCATAATAGTATTTATAAACATATTACCCATATAAGATTATTATAATTAACCAGTGAAAATAAATGCATTTCATGCTTCCACTTAATACACATATTAGTGAAATAATGTGCAATTATTATCATTTAATAATATTTTTTTAATCATAAATGTGCAATTATTATCATTTAATAATATTTTTTAAGATTAAAAGACTTTTATGATCTTTATTATAAATTATTAATCTACTATTTTTATTTTCATTTAAAGGTTAAATTTGTAAAAAAAAAAATATTATGTACACCAAACTAAAAAATCATCTTTATATAAGTATAGATTATCGAATTAAGACAATCAACACTTAAAAATAATGTAAATTTAACTTATATTTTATGCATTATGTCATTTTTTTTTCAAAATTGAAAAGTAATTTTGGAGTAATATGCACAATATTTTAATTTTAAACATTTTTACCATATATCATTATACTTTTTTCTATAGACAAAAAGAATGTATCATGTAGGTCACTTCTATAATGGAAATAATGTTTTTAGGAAATTTTATTGATTCTACAATGTCTCAGATGACCTACATGCATATCTATAGTTTTAATTTAAAAACTTATTGAAAATTTATGAAAATTACATTTCTTAATTTTTATTGAAAAAGACAAAGAAAAAACAATTTCAATAAAGTGTGTTTTCTTACTTTTTTTTTTTTTTTTTTTTAAAAGGAATACAAATTTAACCTGTCTAAAAAGTGTGTTTTCTTGTATTTTTGCATGTGATATACTGCTATATATAATTTTAATATTAAAAGAAAAAATAATAAATGAGAACAGCATAGAACATTTACATCATTCATTGAAGCTACTTCACCCGGTGGCCCCCTCATTTCACATCAACGCAACACAACACAACAATTAATGTCTCTCTCCTGATTATTTTTATAAGAAAAAACGAACTAAAAAAAAGAAATATCTGCGTCACAATGTGGAAAAAGATGATGTTTGATAGAAAACGCATAATTTACATTTCCAACATTAATTGTCTTACTTTAATAATAGTTCTTGTACCTTAGTAGCTATACTTTAAAATTAATAACGTATCTACATAATAATAATAATATATTGTCGTATCTGTGTTATAATTTTCCTTACAAGAATTATCGTTTTAATGCATTACGTGAAATCATATTCCATATTCATGTACATATAATGCTTATGCAACATAGAGTTGGATTTGACTATATATAATTATTTTGTATCTTATGATGGAAATTTTTGTATGTAGGTGGTCTTTGATAGCTGGTAGGCTTCCAGGACGAACAGACAATGAAATTAAGAACTACTGGAATTCTCATTTGTGCAAAAAAGTGAATCAGAAAGAGGAGAAACCAGAATCTTCAACAACGCAAGAAATTATTGGGCAGAATGAGAATGCAACGTTAGAGAAGGAGGTTGCAGTTAATGAAAGTGGTAACATAGATGTTAACTTTGACGTGGACGAGTTCTTCAACTTCTCCTCTGAGGAAACCAATGGCTTTGATTGGCTCAACAAATACCTAGAACTGGACCATATTCCTGATCCTGAGACTACAAAAAATCTCTGAATCAGCCTTTTGTACATCAGTAACTGCAATCAACTTGCATATTCTGTGTGTAAAAAAATAAAACTAAAAAGTTAGATGTTACAACTTACAACATCTCTGTTTCTAAAGGCCGTTTGGTTAAAATAAATATTATAATTACAGTAACAAAATTCATTTAATGTATATTATTTTTAAAAATAATAATTTTTGATAAAATAACCTTGATAAAAAAAATAATAAATTTTGTAAAATACATTTTTGGGGAGATAACTTATATAACATATTGAGATCACATATGATATATTTTTTCGTTAGTTTTGTTTTTGATAGATGTCTCGGGGAATTGAAAGAAGAGTTATTCTTGAGTTTGACTCTTAAATAAGGTGTATAATAATATTTATGATTAAAAAAAAGTAATAATAATTAGAATATACTAATATTATAAAAAGGTTTTATATATCATTACTCAATTGTGAATTACTGTGTTAATATTATTGAGTTCTTTAATTATATTTAGGATGATTTTAATTAATTAAAATATAAAATTATTAAAGTTGAGCTATATAAAATTATTTACATTCGCGGTGTATCAAAATTGAGCCCTCAAAAGAAATTGTTATTGAATATTTATGTCAAAATATTTTGAGTTCAATTTTTAAGGCATTGCTAATGTAATAATCTGTTCTTATTAACTTATTAAATTTAGTTCGAATATAACTTTTAAAAAATATTATAAAATTAATAATTATCATATATGATATTTTATGATTGAATAAGCACACTTTGTTCTCTGAATTTGAATAGTTTTATCATATTAATTTTAGAAATGAAGAAATTGTAAAATTTATTTGTGGAGTGTCAATAATTATGCAAACGCATTGGACATGAGCTGAAAATGAGATTTTGATTTTGAAAGGTAGGGGCAACATTTTCTTGCCACGTATTTTCCCTTTGACTAAAGAAAATAATTGAATTATGTAATTTCATCCTTTGTATTTTTCGATCAAAGTCAAACGTCGTTGTACATAATTTCAATCCCAAACACAAACACGACCAAATGTGGTTTCTGTTTGACACACACAACTTTGTATTTATCGGTTAAGTTAAACTCCGAGTTCTCTTTAAATTGTATTCATTTTTCATTCGACTTATAAAAAAAAAAATAAAAAAAAAAAGTAAAAAGAGAAAAGGAATCACTGTTCTGAAAATTTATCAAAGTCCATGTAGCATTACTTTACTTATTACAGAAAAGTTAAAATATTTTTTTATTAATAAATTTTTTTAAGTTTTTAGACTTATTTATTTTAATCTCTTTAAGTCTCTACTATTAATTTGTGTGAACATTGTATTTTTTGTTTGATGTAATAGAGGTTTTCATTTTTGTTTTTGTGAAATGAAAAACATTTTATAGTTAAAATATCTATTTAATCCATATAATTATACTTATTTTATCTTGTAGTTCTTATAATTTAAAATAGATATTTTTAATTTTTTCAAGTCTCTATTGTTAATTTGTGTATAAGGTTGTTTTTGTGTAAGCAACATGAGTTTATTAAATCTATGCGACAATAATTTATTTGTTTGGTTTGTTAGACAATAATGTATCACCTAATGATTTGAGAGAAAAAAATGAGGAGTTTTTAATAATCATAAGTTTTTTTAAAATTTTCGTAGTCGTGCTCATGAAGCAAGTGGGGAAAAACCTCATTTTGGTATTTCTTTTATTGCAATGGAGCACGATGATGTTGGGATTCTTGTACAAGATGAAAAAGATAAAACCTTTTTCCTATTTTAAATTCAAAGGGACAAACAAGATTAAAAAATGATTCAAAATTATCTACTTTCCCCAATCTATTTCGCATCGAAAGTTCACCAATTGACAACATATAGTCCGCCATAAAAGTCCACTGAACTCCCTTTAGACAAGGCATCCAACAACACTACCACTCTCAACAAAAAATTGCAACACTACCTTACTCCACCAAAAACAACAATGCACATATCATGAAATCATGACAACAATGTGTTTTTCCTCGTACAAGAACCTCAATACCATCGCACTCCATTGCCATAAAAGAAAAAACAAGAAAAAGGTTTTTTTCCGCTTGCCCCATGAGCAAGTCAATGAACATAAGATTCTTCATTTTTTTTCTTCCTAAATCATTAAGTGGCACTTTCATCGTCTACCAAACCAAACAAATTGTTGTCACATAGCCTTAATAAGCTCACGTCACTCACACAAAAATGACATTATACACAAATTGGTAGTAGAGACTTAAAGAGATTCAAAAAAGAAGATAAATATAGAGATTAAAAAAATCCATTTTAAAATAGAAGATTAAAATGTAAAATAAATGAAACTATATAAATCGCAAAGGTATTTTAACCTTACAAAAATAAGTAAAGGAAAAAATTTTAACTATTAATTGTTAATGCTAAGTTGTCGTCAATTTTTCACTCTTTAAAAGAATGTTTTTTTGTTTATATTTTTATTGTGTATACTATGAGTATCTTTCATCGAAAACAATCATATAAGTGACACTCTTTATCCCTCATGCATAAATTTAATAATATAAAAAATAAAAAATAGTAGTTTAAAAAATACTTTATTAACTAAATAGAAAACTAAGGGTAAAGGTATTACCTTACAACTCTCCAAATAACAAGATTGAAAACTAAAAGCCAAAAATCATAACAAAAAATACTATCTAAAGTGGAAATGTCTTAAAGAAACTAAACTCCTGATGCAATGACAAAGAGAAACAATTCTTAAGTAAAGCTCTGATGTCACATCCTATTAGAGCGGTCCCAACATAAAATTCAAACATTTCCATAATTAAATTCACCTATGTAAACATACCAAGACAAGACAGTAAAAGATTAAGAGAGCAAAAAATATCTCACTCTAGATACCGATATGGGAAATGAATGGGTAGTCACACACATATAATAACATAATATAGCATACATGTGATTCAACACTAATTATTTCACCTATAATATTTTAACAATTAAAACAATAATCATTTATTCACATTCTATCACATCACATCGCATCATATATAAATGTCACAATTTAAACACAATTAGTATGCTATGTTCATGCAAAAACAAAACTTTTCTAACTACATGCATGTGACACCAATAAAACACTTTATCCTTGCATGAAGGTTGAGTAGCCTAAGAGTTCATATCGGGTTAAACTATCACCACACTCCACACTAGGAGAAAATACATTTGTGACGCATTGGGATAACTATGTTGGCCAAGTTTTACCCAATGTTCACAAAGTGGTGGGACTAGGGCTTCTAAACCTAGTCATCCCCAAGATCATGGATCTCTAAACTTTTATACAAGGAGGACCTTCCCTAACAACGTATTTCACATCGTACTTATCACAAAAACATGTTATACAAATGATGCATATTATACAGACTCTATGCATGGTCACAACATTCACATTCACAGGATTTCACAAGTCACATCACTATTAAATTATACTCAGGCTTATTTATACAATCACTTACACTTATCAAATATCACATGCCTCACAATTTCATAAACTCGCATTACATTCTCAATTTCCAATACTATACACATAATTCCTATCTTAATCATTAGTTCATAAAGTTTACTTATCAGTCTATACACACGCATTAGGCAAGTATTCATATAATTCAATTATAAGAACAAGGTAACACCCAACATGATTTACCCTACGTCTAACACAATCGAGGTTGAAAGCCTCTAGAAGAATCATGCCCGATGTGACTTTTCCTACGCCATCAAATTCACGAGAAAGAGCTCTTGGAGCTCTCGTGCTCAACGTGACTAAGATCACGCCCATCATCAACAATGCAACGAGCATTATGTGGCTCTCACGCCTGGCGTGCACCTCCCCACACCTGATGTGATCACCATAGAGGTCCCTTTGTTACTTCTACACTTAGTACGTAGCCCCCAAGTGGCGCTTAGCACGATCAGTAAAATCTTTTTTTGCATATTTGCGAATCATTCTCATACAAGTCTCAGAACTTACACGAATTCATGTTAAAGAAAGGGTCCCATGGATCTAATTAGTTCATTTTTATTAATAATGTTACTACATGAAGTTGTTTCTCCAATAATTTATTTATATTCATCCTTAGGGTCCCCCCAGGAACCCACATGCACTTATAGATTCACAATAAAGGCAACTCACAAATCAACAATTCAATTACATACATATATAGAAATCAAGAGACAATAAATACACATTAAAATTACAAACAAGATTTGGGTTTAATCCCCCACACATACATATACAACCAATGAGATTGGGAGCCAATCTCGCTACCTAACAGATAACTCACACCTGGATTGAGGTTCTCACTCCCCCTTGATAAATGTTAAACTCTTGGTTTGGATCTCTGAGATCTTATCTCATTACCTCTGATTCTTCGTCTTCTTTAAATCATGAGATGCACATGTTAATAAAATGAGACAACCCTAACTTACTAACATGTTTATAAAGAAATGTTAAACATATTTTATACATAGTCTATCAACAAAAGGCCATTAAATTATTTCTCGATATTTTAAAAAAGCAAGTAAATAAAAATTATTATAATTTTGATAAAATATCACTCAATTTATAACTATAACCACTATTAATAAATTAAAATATTTTATTAATTTATTTATAAAAGGTGGGATACTATAATATTTAAGTTAAATATAATCATCATGAATGAAAAAATTCTCTCCCTAAATATTTAATATAATCACATATTCACGATTGAAATTTAAGATTATCAATTAAATTTAAATAATCTTATCCTAATTAATTCATTTGTTTGTCGGTTTTCTTTATGTGTATGGATAGAAAAGTGTCAAAGAGAAATTAAATAAATTTATAAGACATTTTTATTTAAGTTATCATGTTTTGCTTAAATCTCTTATTATATACCCACCATTCTCGTCCTCTTTCAAATAAAAACACATAACCCAGTAACCCACCATTCTCTCAATTTCATTGTAGCAATCTTTGGTTGTTGAAATTCAAGAAGCATGAAGGAAGACCAGAGTGGCAGATATAGCCAAATACATGCAGCTAAGGGTAAGTTTTTAAATCACTAATTTTTGGCCAAACCTTCCTAGTTCCTCCCATTAGA